TATATGTTTTTAGATATAGAAATAAGTTGATCTTAAATTTTGTAAAAAAAAAAAATATATTTGATAATGATGAACATTGTCTATGTATTTTGTTAATGACCCTGGTACTTAATTTGTGAATGTTAATGTATTGTAAATGGGATACAAGTTAAACATAAATATACATGTACAGTCATTTCAATTCCAAATACACTATGCTGTATTATTTGTTTTTTTTTTCTAATGTGATCTTCATCGTCTCTACTAAAATGACATGAGAACAGTTATCTTTTATGTTTGAAATGAATGCAAAAACTATTTTTTTTTCTAAAGCACTCCTCTTTGATCTTCTTTGATTATGCAGTAGGAGTACATGATGATTTTAGAATTATTACTAACACATTATACCTTTCGTAAATTAAATGCACTGAAAACCACAAATACAATCAACATTTAATTAAAAAAATGAAAAAGGATGCTACTCTTGTATTTACACTATAAGATAATAGAACATACGGAAGCCCAATAGTGCAAAACAAAAATAAATACAGAAAAACGAAATTAATGTATGAAGGAAAACGAAATTAATGTATAAAGGAAAACCAAATTAAAATAATGAAATGAAATTCTTAAATAAAGAGAAACGAAATTATTAGATAAAGAAAAGCGAAATTAATATATAAAGAAAAAACGAAATCATTAAATAAAGAAAAACGAAATTATTAAATAAATCATTTCGTTTTTCTTTATTTAATAATTTCGTTTTTTTACTTTTAATAATTTCATTTTTCTTTATATATCAATTTCGTTTTTCAAGTAGAAAACTGAAACTAAAATACGGAATTTATAGATGTGCATGGTAAGGGCCTGGACCCATGATCATTCCACAAGGCGCACATGTTATAAAGCATCACCTCGTAACTCTTTGCACCTTATCTCGACATTACAAATGTATGGTGGAAATGAAAATTCAAAGAGGATATAAATATCAAATTACAAATTTACAAACGTAGAAAAAATATTTGCACACAGCCTAAAATTCCCATTTCCGTAAACAATTCATATTCTATTCAATATTGTTTACGTGACTTTGTTGCTGTGTCATATTTCCACATCATTATTTGAGTCTGTATGCCTGGACGTAGCGAGGATGGCTGTTTCTGTTTGCATAAAATTAATGACATTACAAGAAAGCTCGTGAATCGCGAGAAGGTCAAGACCTTGAGTATCGTATTACTTAATTCCCATGAACTTAACCTAGTGTCCTATCTGTGTACCCATAAATCTTAGGTTGTTGAAATATAAAGAGAAAAATGATTAATTACTTTGTGGGATTTGTTTTATGCAAGTGTATGCGTTGTTTGCTCACAAATATCACTGACTTATAAATACAGATTGAGAGTTTGTCATTTAGAATATGTGAAATCAAGTTCTATAGTTGTCATACACTACCACTGACTTATAAATAGTACAGATTGAAAATTTGACATTTAATAATACCAAGAAATCAGAAGTGTTTTGCTTTATTTCTCAAATAGTGAGCAATCATTAAAATCTACTTATTGTAACTACTTTGACTAGATTTAATTTTGTCACTTGTTCTATTTAAACACCAAGCCCGTTATGCATAAATTATCCCGTTTTCCACTTTTATTGCTGTCCCTGACATACTATACTAACTAGACAGTGATTCCTTATATTTCCATTTCATTGTGAAATAAATTGTAAATTTAGACTTTAGAAAATGCAGAATAAGATTTAAATTACACGAGGATTCCCATCCCAATTTAAATAGTCCTCGTCCTCTGACGTCAAACACAACGGCTGGAGCACGAGATTTTCATGCATATTGGGCTTCCTTAGCGTCAGACTCAGAGACAGATGTGCACGAGAATTGCATGCATATTAAGCCTCCTAAGCTCCTGTTTTATTGACCTGTCTAATTTACATACCGGTAGAATTATCAAGAAATTAACTCCGCTGACTTTCAGAGTTATCACAGAAAGAAACATAGGTGATCAGAGATTACAGAGCTCACCTCAACGAATGTTGTCTTTAAGTAAGGCAAAGTCACACAATTAACCAACAAAAAGTGTACATTCCAAAAATGAAAATATTTAAACAATTTTGATCTGATACTTTGAAATAGCTAGACCTACATAAAAAATTTAAACTAGTTATTCTTCATGAAAATGTAATCAAAATCCAGCATCTGAAGCAATTTGAGAGTTTTCATCTCTTGATGCAACATTTGTGCAAGTTTGGTTTATACTATGTTATATTAGCCTTATAGTTTTTTGGAAATAGACCTGCAACCATAACTTTTACCTGGTCTATTATTTGAAAAATGTGTGTCGAATTCAGCATCGGAAGCAAGTCCATTAGTGTGCATCCTAAGATGTATCGTCCATGCAAGTTTGCTCATTATAGGGCTCATAGTTAGTTGGAAATGAAACATATATCAAAAACTAACATTTTCACTCATCCACAAAAAGTAGGTCAGATTCAGCATCCGAAGCAAGCCTGGTAGTATGCATCCTTAGATGTATCATCCCGCAGTACAGTTAAGGTGCGCAATGGAAATATCGACTAAATTTTGTATTGAAAAATGTATTCGTAATCGGGATGGCGATTATTTTAAGTACATTATTTATATCGGATAATTGTTATTATGATTAATAACTACATATCGAGGACGATTATATTTTATATTTAGACTAGTCACGTGATGCGGCAGTCACGCGATTTTAGCACATTGACTTGAAGTATTGATGTTACATATAAATGTCACTAGTGCAAGGGCATAACCAAGTTAAATTTCCAAGTTAAGTATATAAATATTTTCAAAATGTATTGTAGTTTCTGAAAAGTGATGCAATCCTGTCTAAATTCTGCAATTTCATTGTTAAAATTATACTTGTATGACCGAATGCTATATTTTTTGCTGGTCTGCGGCATGAAATATTGATATAATTAAATTGTTTTTAAGATTTCATCAGGATCGCAGCATTTTTCAGATACCTTAATAATTCTATAGTTGAAATGTAAAAGCTTACTTTGATCCATAGAGTGTATGCCCTTGGACTAGATCGATTTATTAAGACCCCCAACATTACCCTCCGATGTACTTTCATACAAATATACGGCAGTGTTAATTAAATACGTAATGTACAGAAAATATATTAATAAAATAGCGAAGAAGACATTAAATTCAAGTTTTTGGCCCATAGAATATCTATAAATAATATTTTATTTAATTAGAGATTACATATTTTGTTGAAAAAATATTACTTGATCTGTCTCTCACTGCATACAAACTACGTCACGTTGTAAGAAATGACGTCATATTGACAAGTGTATTTCGATCAGTGACTTGTTTATAACTTGTTATGTGGGATTTAACTAACGACAAAACAACACGCTGTAGTAAGTTTTTATGTTGTTTGATGATTTCTTACTGGTTAAATTAGCAGATAAAATCATTTTGTGTTATTTTAAAGAAATGTTGTATGACGTATATTGTGTATGATGTCATAGTCAAGTTTTCCCGTACAAATTAGGCTCCGCCTCCTATTTGTAACCTTAACTGTGCTGCGCATGCAAGATTGGTCATTAAAGAACTCATTGTTACTTGGAAATGAAACCTGCACCAAAAACTTTAACCTGTTCACTCAACCAGAAAATGTAGGTCAGATTCAGCATCTGAAGCAAGCCCAGTAGTGTGCATCCTTAGATGTATCATCCATGCAAGTTTGGTCAACTTAGGGCTTAAAGTTACTTGGAAATGAAACCTGAACCAAAAACTTTAACCTGTTCACTCAACTGGAAAATGTAAGTCAAATTCAGCATCGGAAGCAAGCCCAGTAGTTTTCATCCTTAGAAGTATCATACATGCAAGTTTGGTCAACATAGGGCTTATAGTTACTTGGAAATGAAACCTGAACCAAAAACTTTAACCTGTTCACTCAACCAGAAAATGTAGGTCAGATTCAGCATCTGAAGCAAGCCCGGTAGTATGCATTCTAAGATATATCATCCATGCAAGTTTGGTCAACATAGGGCTTATAGTTACTTGGAAATGAAACCTGCACCAAAAACTTTAACCTGTTCACTCAACCGGAAAATGTAGGTCAGATTCAGCATCCGAAGCAAGCCCGGTAGTATGCATTCTTAGATGTATCATCCATGCAAGTTTAGTCAACATAGGGCTTATAGTTACTTGGAAATGAAATCTAAACCAAAAACTGCACCAAAAATGTTAACCTGCTCCAAAAACATTAACCTGGTCATTCCTTTGCTGAAACTGCAGCATCTGAAAATTTGACTGGTACAATGAAACACACTAGAACCATCTTCCATGCATGTCTAATCAATATAGGACATAGAAGTACTTAAAAAGAAAACTGCTCCAAAAAACTTAACCCTAACCTGGGACGCCGACGCCGACACCGACGCCGACGCCGAGGGTATTACATAAGCTCCCCCAACTTCGTTGAGGTGAGCTAAAAATTAGAAATGGAAATATTATCAAACAAAGCCACAAAGTCCGATCGGTAACGTATTATTTTACGGCATTTTCTAATGCGTGTTCTCTAAAGCCATGGGGATTTCCTAAATGTTAAAAAATTCAACAGTACATAACAACGGAATCTTAACCTTCACGTTTATCTTAAATATTTGTGCAATTTATTAGGATAATCTCTTAAATGTTTCATTTCCAAAGTCATTATTTGCGTGTCAAGATTCATTTGCTGATCATTAGACCTTTCGAGCAGAGGGTTTAACGTAGCTACGGATAGCGATCACGTGACATTGCATGTGAATTCTAAATTAAGAATTTCTCGGTTGGCTTATTACGGAAATGCGCATAGTTCAATATGGCAGACTGCAAGTTGTAAACAACGTGCTCCGAGAAAAGTACAAGAGAAACGTTATAGGAACGCTCAGCTGTAAAGGTAGATCAAGTAAATTAGAGCGAATGAGAGAATACACATCTTAAGAAACAGAAAACTATAAAACCTTTTAATGAACTAAAATGTCTGTGTATCGCAAACGACCGACTAGCACCCCCTATTCCAAAGCAGACGACGCTGCTGGTTTGAATCTCAATCATGATATGACATGGATGAAATCGAAAGAGGGACGAAGATTTGCTGAGATGAGGAACTTGACAAATCAGTTTATATGCTCTCAGTCACAGTGATATCGTTTGTATCTTTTCCAAAAACTTTGAAAGCGATGGTGACTAGGTACTTTATTGTATCAATACATTAGGCCTACATGTAAATGGGTCTGATAGTACTGTATTATTTATGGATTTATCGACACTTTCCACGGGAAATCCCGGCCCCGAAAGTAATACGATGGAGAGGCTTATGATCACTGTTGATATCAACTCAAAAGTAGCTCTTGGTAAGTCATATCTATAGATATTTACATGACATACTTTCATGATAATAGGCCTATTTTAATTCAGCATTAAACTTCACCCTTATGAGTATTAGTAAATTCAGAGAATGTAATAAAGGGACTGTCATTCATTTGATGGGGGTGGGAGGGAGGGGCAAATTTTATGGGTGTCAGATTATGTATTTACAGTGAAGGACAGATAATTTATTTTTATTTCCAAGATCACTGGGGGCCTAATTTTTGTCAGATTGTACCTAAGATATATTTCTATTCAAAAAATTCTACATTTTATAATCATTTAGGGTATTTCGATTCACCTTTACAGTATTTACATTTTGACTTACAAAAATAATTTTGGGATAAAACATGTTTGAAAAGTAAATTAATTTATCAATAATCAGGTAAATTTTGTGTATATTATAATTATTTTTGTTGCTCTGAGTGAGTGTTTCAGTTTGGTAAAATTTACAGTAGCCCTGCAGGGCAAGTTTTAAGGCATGTTTAGTAGTCCAAACTCAATATTTAGTTGTCGTGGGCCAGCGGACTACCCTTAGTGTCGAACCCTGGACAGATTATTTTTGTTTTTCTTCACTGGTAAAAACTGTGTCAGTGTGGTAAACATTGAAACTGTTTACATGTTGTTTGCTGGTCTGATGAAATTGACAAATCTTTATATTACTGCTGCTGTATAGTTAGAATATTGGCCAGGCAGTGGGGCATTTTAATTTAATGTTAGATTTACTGGTTAAAAAGTGATTTGCCAATCAACTATTTTTATATATTATTGTATTTTGCTGGTATACATGTATATTTATTTGATCTATTTTTTTTCAGCCATCAAGATGGTACTTTCTGGTATAGGACCACCAACCCATAGCAGACCAGGGGATCTTGATGTCAGCATAATAGTGATTATGGTTAAGTCATTAAAATTTTGCTATGCCAAATTTAATAAGTGTAGAAAATTGGCAATTTACATGTATGAGGTGTAAATTTTTGCAAGTTATATATACATGTATGTAATATGTAATGGTTTGGGCCATGGATATATATCGTCCAGGGTAGCTCAGTCTGTATAGCATATGACTAGTGATGCAGGGGTCTCAGGTTTGATTCCCGGTCCATCCATACATTTTCTCTTTTCCTGTTACATAATACATATACATGTTTTTTTCACCGAAATTCTATATATAAGATATAGACATTGTGAGAAATATATTTTGATGGTGACTGCAGATAATATTGTATTTGTTAAATTTTATAAATTACAGATAGATTCATCAGTAGAGAGTACAAGGTATATGAATATGAAGTTTAGACCATTCATGCTGATGATGATTCAACTACTGCAGCTCGACGGAAGAATGATTTTCCACCCCTTCCAACAAAGAGCAGGACAAGAATCGCTTGTTGAAAATAAACTAACATAGTCAATAGACTACTTTTCTTTGTCAGCTTTACATTACCGGGTACATGTATCTCTTGATTGAGTGTTACATTTAAAGTGGAAACTAATCACTCCACATATAGATTTTTTTTTCCATTTTTCATATTTAATCTACCCTGTTTTATGTCTGGTGTGGTAATGTGTGTCGTGTGTCGTGTGTTAACATTTGAACATTTTCAGCTTCTTCTCTGCAACCACTGAACCAATTTCAACCAAATTTAGCATAAAGCATTTATGGGTGAAGGGGAACAAAAATTGTGAATTTCATGATCCCTGCCCCCCTGGGGCCTGAGGGGTGGGGCCAAAACCACTAAAATTAATGCAATCTTTAAAAATCTTCTTCTTTACTCCTGGACATCAAGCAGGCAAACTGTTTGCATGATTGTAATCAGCAAGGGTGCTTCTACCAAAATTGTGAAATTCATGGCCCTGGGATCAGGGGTTCTGGTGTTAGGGCGGGGCTAAATAAGTATATAGTGAAAATGCAGTATTTCTTTGAAAATCTTCTTCTCTGCTCCTGGGCATTAAATAAACCAAATAAGTACATAGTTGTAATGAGCAAGAGTGCCTCTACCAAAATTGTGAATTTTATGGCCCCAGGGTCAGGGGCTCTGGTGTTAGGGCGGGGCTCTATTAATGATTATATAGTGAAAATGCATTAATTCTTTGAAAATCTTCTTCTCTGCTCTTAGGTATTAAATAAATTAATAAAGTATATAGTTATGATGATCAAGGGCGTGTCTTTCAAAATTGTGAAATTTGTGGCCCGGGGGTGAGGGGCTCAGGTATGTTCGGGTGGGGCAAACTTGGTCATGTACTGAATATGCAGTTTGAAAATTGTCTTTTATTTCTACATTGTGATCAAGCAGTCACACTGTTGTTATGCTTATAATAATCAATAAACCTTATAACTTTAGAATGCATGACCCCTGGGTTTTTGGGATAGAGGCCCAGGGTGGGGCTTTAAGTTGCATTATTGTATTGAAATAAGTGTAATGTTGCATTGAAAATTTTCTTAGTAAATTGATTATTAAAATATGCAATAAGAAATATTTGTGTAAAAACGTTGTTTATAAACAATGTATGAAATTCTAGCGCCCTAGATTTTTTTTTTTTTTTTGGTTTCAATAATCCGGAAATATAGCTGCATACGAGGCCCGTATACTTCGTGATTTAGAATATCTCACGCATGCGTACAATCTGCAAATTCAGTGTCTTCCGGCAACTCGAAGAAGTCTTGGCAGAAAATTAAGCGTCAAAATACGATTTTAATTTCATTTCAGTTTTAAGAGTGTGTATAATTTACGGTGGGTATGAGTGGTGCAGTTTTTAAGTTTAAACAGTATGGAATATGACGTGCTTTAGCTAATATATTCTTGCCAGTTGGTAATCGTTAGATTCCTTTTTGAGATGATGTCACGTGAACGTTAGGCCTAATGGCGGAACGGATTGTTTATATAAACCTATGTACTAATAAATTCTTTTTATTGGGTATTAGATATTCTGTTTTTGTATTAAGTCGAAAATGTGCTCTGAACTTGAAATGTGATGAAATATTTCGAATTATCTTTGAAGAAATGATAGCCTCGATTGGTAGGACTAAGGAGTTAAAATCGGAAGTGAGAATCCACTTACCAAAAAAAAAGGCACATGGTTTTTAGAAAGCGGCACTTTAATAAAACGGCAGTTGTGCCTTGTATTTATATGATATTTCAATATAATTACTACATTGTAGCTTTGCAAACTGTAATGGGAATGAATCTGAGCAAAACATGAAATATTTTTCTTAATCTGAAATTATTATTTAATATGACAAGTTTTTGTAAAGCTTACAAATATATAAAGTTTTCATAATTTTGAAAATATCACAAAAGTCTTCTTCTGAACTATAAAGTAGACTTTAAAATGTTTACATGTATAGATAAATATCGTTGAGCTAGAATTTAGCAAGTTATTTCCTGTAAGCAGTCTTCACCAAATTTTTTTTTAGCACATGCCCTTTTTGGGCAGGTGTGATAACCAATTAATGAATTATACAAGCCCGAACAAATATTTACATGCCCAGAATTTTATCAAGTTATTGTATTATTCTTATTTGCCATTTCATGACAAGGAAATGATCTGAAATCCATTCTGTCAATTTATAGTCTCGCCATTTGTTTTCAACCTGTACACTTTTTGTGTCTCCTTTGCAGAAGAGTTCCTTGGAAATCGCGGTAAAATAAGATTTCAGTTAAATTTTATTTTGAACTTGACTTTAGATGGAAAATAAAAGACTTTAAAGTACATTTAGTGTTATTGGTCTTGTTTAATTTTATTATAGCAAGGCTTATGCCTTAGAATTTACATGCCCTTCGGGCTTGTAAGTGTGCAAATTCCACGTGCCCGCTTCCAATTTTACCAGGTCCCGGGCATCGGACTCCCAGGATTTGTCGAAGACTGTGCTAGTTGCCCGCCATACTGGAGGTCTAAATGCTCATATTCCTTCATTGTTCAACCAATTAAAAATTTTTATATTTGCTATTTTGAATTAGGAATCATTATTTTTCTGAATTATAAAATTATTTTCAAGAAGTATCCTTTATTGAAATAAAAATTATTTAATAAAGATTTTCCACAAATATTTCTGCTACATCCTAGTAAACTCGGTAAGATGAGGGAAAATCACCTATTCGATCTCCAATATGGTGGCCCACGGGGAGTACCTCTGACTAAATTCAGGACTATCAAAAACTATATTTTTTTTTTTTTAAGTTTTTTTTTTTTTTTAAATCAACACATTTTTTTCAGATATGTTTTAATTAAAATTAGATGTTAGATCTGCTTACATACTCAATAAACTAACATCTAACAACATCCCACAGAGGGTCAAATTAGAGGTTGAATTCTATTGACCTATAAATATTTTTTGAAGTGAATAAGTCGAGCTGCTCCAAATTTGACCTCTGACATGACACTCTATGGGATATTGTTAGATTTCAGTCTAGTGAGTATGCGAGCTAATCTAACATCTAATTATACCCCCCGCAAACGAAGTTTGGGGGGTATATAGGAATCACCTTGTCCGTCCGTCCGTCTGTGCAATCGTGTCCGGTCCATATCTTTCTTACTGAGGGACATTAGAATCTACTACTCCACACTAAGATTGCTCATGACCTAAGGGTGTGTCATGACCTTGACCCAAGGTCATTTGGGGAAGTTCAAGGTCACTGGAAGAAAAATTTCATAAATCATGTTTGATACATATCTTTTAGGCCATAATAAAAATATTCCTAGATTCTCATCCCCGCCCGCCCCGATTTTATACCCCCGCCTCGATTTTTTTTATTTCAGTTTTTCTTCGTCTTAATTTTGATCGGGATCCATATTCATCTACCATTCTACTTTTGTTTTAAATCCCGCGAAGAAAGTCGACATGATTTTGACAGCTGAAAAGATGTTATAATTGCTGTAATACATGCGTATATGTTTTAAACAAGGGTCATTGGTTGAAAAAGATTGGTGATGATGTGAAGTAAGATATAATTGAACCTTTACTATGACTTTTATTCGGGTATTGTAAATAAAATTACACTGACTGACCAGGTCAATAAAAAATATATAAATACAGTTTTACTTTTTTTAAAAAATTCGGAAGAAAATTTTATGGCAAAACTGGGTTCTCATAAACATAAAAGCCTCATGACCCGAATGTTTTTGAAAAGAATTTGGATGGTCTACTGGAAGAACATTTTCTTAATATTAGTCCTTATGGATAAACTTGGTAGGTTCTCATTTCACACAAAGATTGCCCATGACCCAAGGATGTGTCATAACCTTGACCCAAGGTCATTTGGGAAAGTTCAAGGTCACTGGAAGAACATTTTCTTAATTTCTATCCAGTCCATATCTTTCTTATTGATAAGCTTGGTAGGTTTTCATTTCACACAAAGATTGCCCATGACCCAAGGGTGTGTCATGACATTGGCGCAAGGTCATTTGGGGAAGTTCAAGGTCACTGGAAGAAAAATATCATAATTCATGTCAGGTCCATATCTTTCTTATGGATAAACTTGGTGGGTTTTCATTTCACACAAAGATTGCCCATGACCCAAGGATGTGTCATGACCTTTACACAAGGTCATTTGAGGAAGTTCAAGGTCACTGGAAGATAAATTTCATAATTCGTGTTCTGTCCATATCTTTCTTATGGATAAACTTGGTAGGCTCTCATTTCACTCAAAGATTGCCCATGACCCAAGGGTGTGTCAGGACCTTGACCCAAGGTCATTTGGGGAAGTTCTAGGTCACTTGAAGAAAAATTTCATAATTCGTGTCCGGTCCATATCTTTCTTATGGATAAACTTGGTAGGCTCTCATTTCACTCAAAGATTGCCCATGACCCAAGGGTGTGTCATGACCTTGACCCAAGGTCATTTGGGGAAGTTCTAGGTCACTTGAAGAAAAATTTCATAATTCGTGTTTGATACATATCTTTATTATGGAAACCCAGCAGGGGGTATTTTGTCCCATTCGGACAGTTCTAGTTTTAATTAGATTGGACTATGGAAGAGTTATTCTCTTAGTGTGCTCTTTTGTGAAAAAGTCGGCAAATGTACAAATGTCACAGGATTACATAAATATGTAAACAATTGGTGGATAGTTGATTAACAAATCCAACAAAAGCCAAAAGAAATGTTTGATTCTTGCAGCCTTTATATACATCAAGTGTAGGAATGTCAACAATATCAATTGTGTTTCTTATGCATCTATTTATTATATGATACATCTATCTAAATACAATACACATGCCTTAAAACTATTTTTTTTAAATATAAATTATAGGGTAATAAATTTAAAGTTCTCGCTCTCGTACGTGTATCATTTCTTCTGTTCTTTAATTGGAATGACAGAAACATTCAATATTAAAATTGGGTAAAGATTAGCATGTTTTGTATTATCGGCAACGCCCATACTATTCAAGACACGACCAATCGTGCCTTTAATTTTAAGAGTTTACTAAAGGAAATTAAACAGTTATAACAAGACACCTCTGATATGATGACAATAAATTGATTTAAATTAAGGAGATGAGTTGTTTATTTCAATCACAATATTGATTCTTACTGGCTATTACATGTACATCTATGCTAAATAATCCTGTTTATTTCTTAGAATCCCACAGGAGTCTGACTGTTTTTGATCAGAGTTTATGTAATCATGTTAAAAACAAATAAAATTGGGAATATGATCAGATTTCCTGATCACAAGATTTCAATAAATTTAGGAATAAAGAAATTCAGACACATAAATGCTGTGTTTATTTAAAAATATTATATATATAAAGTACATTAGTATGTTTATTCTGCTTATTAATTTTTTTGATAGACCCGTAAAGTTGCATGCGAACTAATAAAAGTAAGAAAGGTCTAGTCCTGCCAGACTAAAGCCTAAGAAATGTTAGTGTTCATCCCTTAAGATCTAATTGGTACATATTTACTCATTTGCCATTTTGAAAAATTTGTAAGTGCCATTTTGCATAATTTTGAAGTGCTGTTTTCATTTGCACTCAATGTTTGTTTAAAATGGTGCAAATTCCATGGATTAGGGACAACCCTTAGATAGCAATTTTATGTGCAAACAATGAATATATAGATGTACTTTAATGAAATTCCTTCCATTTAAAAATGTTCTTTTTATGCCCCTCTTCTAAGAAGGATGGGCACATTGGTTTCCTGTTGTCTGTCGGCCCACCAAGTCTCTGTTCATTTCCTTTGCAGCAGTTGCAGATTTTGAAATAAAATTTGGTATACATATTTTGATGAGAGTATCTAGGTTAAGTTCTGTTTTTGGTACAATAGCACCATTTTTTACAGAGTAATGCCCCTAGGAGTTAGAAAAATTCCAATTATTTGCAGTTTCCTTCATTTTTTCACAGAGGTTTTCCATATTGAAATGAAATTTGGTAAACAGATTAATCATGAACATATCTAGGTTAAGTTCTGTTTTGGGTATAATCACATTACTTAGGACAGAGTTAAAACCCATGGACTTAACAATTATTTGCAGTTGAGTTTTCGCTCATTATCTTTGCAGAGATTTCACATACTGAAATGAAATTTGGTATACAGATTATCATAAGAGTATCTAGGTCAAGTACTGTTTTTGAAAAATCATACAATTGTCAGACAGAAAATTATAATTATTTGCAATTTTTATTTTTTCTTTGATTTCACACATTCAAGTGAAATTTGAATTAATTAATCATTTTGCTTTTAAACCGTATCATAAACTTGTGTTTTGATCACAGCTTTCTTTTTAGTACTTTTCTTATTTATCATGGAGTTATATAAATTTAAATTATTTTGGGGAGGGGAGCTGTCCTGTCTCTTTGTCTGTTTGTCTGTTGTCAACTTTAACCTTCACCATAACTTTTGAACCATGCTAGGTAGAGACTTCATATTTTGTATGCATACATAATTACTTTATTAAGTTCTTTCAAATGACTTCAAGGTCAATGACTTGTGATCTTGACTGTGACCTTTATGCTAAAAATAGGTTTTTTGAACTTTTGCTTAAATTTTAGAACTTTGAATTAAACTTCACCTCTCAAGTCCTATCTTAGGCCCTGAGTTAATTATATATCTGTAATTTTAGATTTACAATAAAAAAAAGAAAAGTTTTTTTTAAGGAATAGGAATACTGATTGAAATTTTTTTGTTATGTTTTGAAGAAACTCCATGATGCCACGTAAGAAGAACTGGAGGATGGCATCAGTGAAGATGGGGAACCAGAGTCGTGGCAGCAGTGACAATAGACTCGTGGATACTGGCCACGTAAAAAATAGTACAAAAGACCCAACGATTAACGCAACAGATGACGGACCTTTTAGACTCGTGGACACTAGCCACGTTAAAAATAGTACAAAGGACCGGGGGGATACTGCCTCCTTAAAAAGAGTACTAGATTTGCCTTCGGGCGCCAGAAACATTACAGATTTGCCTTCGGGCGCCAGAAACATTGCAGATTTGCCTTCGGGCGCTAGTGACATTATAGATTTGCCTTTGGGCGCTATGAACACTGACAATATGCCTTTGGGCGCTATGAACTCTGCCAATATGCCTTTGGATACTATTGAGAAAAATTCGTTTGTGACAAAATTATTTGGAACAATTAATCAAGCTAGTCATTTATTTCCATCTTTTTCTAGAGGAGTTCAGTGCACATGCAACGCTTTGATGTCTATCATTTTGCAAAATGCATCTACTTCATCAGAACTCGATAAGGTTCTCTTTGCTGGGGATGATTTATTTCGAGTCAGAATTGCAGAATTACAGTCAACTGTTCAATTTGTATCAAAAATGCTACAATTTCAAGAACTTCCCAAGTCTGTTTCTGTGAATGATAACCATTATGAAATATGCTATTATGAACAGATCTATGGAACTGTGACTCATATAGATTGGGATCAGTCATGTCAAAGTAATAATTTAAAGGAAGGTATTGAGCTGCTCTTTACAAGGTATAATCAAGGATTAATTATAGTTGGAGGAATTTGCTCTGCAGTGTATCTTGATGACAAGAACTGTCCTGTATTTTTTGATTCACATTCCCATGGAGAGGACGGTCTTTCATCTGCAGATGGTAGGGCTGTTAGAATCACTTTTAGTGATATTGATCAACTAATGGACTACATGTTTGCATTTTATCAAAGTTGTAATATTTCAATGATAAGTCAGTTTGAGATTCAGCCAGTGTCTGTAACACAAAAAACAAGTGTATCCAATGCTGCAAGCAAAAGACCTTCTTTAATTGATAAGTACTTTGAGTTCCAAGACAACATGTCAAAAAAATGTATCATTTCTGAATCACCACAAGGAAATCGAAATGAATATATGAGAAATTATATGCGAAAAAGAAGAGAAAACTCACTGATAAAACAGAAGGACAGGGAAAGTAATCTTAGAAGTATGACCAAAGCAAGACAAAGTAAAGAATTTAAAGAGAAAGAACTTTCCTCAAAAAAATTTGTAAGAGAAAATCCAGAGAGAAAGCAGAAGGATAGAGAAAGTAACCTTAGAAGTATGACCAAAGCAAGACAGAGTAAAGAATTTAAAGAGAAAGAACTTGCTTCCAAACAAAAAAGAGAGAAAACCCAGAGACAAAGCAGAAGGATAGAGAAAGTAACCTTAGAAGTATGACCAAAGCAAGACAAAGTAAAGAATTTAAAGAGAAAGAACTTGCTTCCAAACAAAAAAAGAGAGAAAATTCAGAGACAAAGCAGAAGGACAGAGAAAGTACATTAAAAAGTATGAACAAAGCAAGAGAAAGTCAAGAATTTAAACAGAAAGAACTTGCTTCCAAACAAAAAATAGAGAAAATTCAGAGACAAAGCAGAAGGACAGAGAAAGTACATTAAAAAGTATGAACAAAGCAAGAGAAAGTCAAGAATTTAAAGAGAAAGAACTTGCTTCCAAACAAAAAAAGAGAGAAAATTCAGAGACAAAGCAGAAGGACAGAGTAAGTACATTAAAAAGTATGAACAAAGCAAGAATAAATACAGAATTTAATTTAAAAGAAAGAGAAGCAAAAAAGAGCAAAAGAGACAATGTAGAGCAGCTGGAGAAAGAACGGCTCTGTAAACAGCAAAGTAGAAGAAATAACAGAGAAAAAGAAAGAGAAAATGAAAGGGTTTCTAAAGCTAAAAAGAGGCTTGATACAGAATTTAAAGAGAATGAAAGCAGATTGGTAAAGAAAAAGTGTCATGGTAACTCTTTAGAAGATTGCATAGAGAAATTCCATGAACAAGTAAAAATTGGTCCAATTTATGTGTGTACATGTTGTCATCAGACTTGGTTTTTGAAGTGTTGTGAAGCTAGATTCAACCTGTCTTAGTGTTAGTAGTAAAAGTATCTGCACTGGATTTAGATCTGTGAATGACATAGAATGGCTATGTTTAACCTGTTGTTCAGCTCTGAAAGATGAGAAAATTCCAAAACTTTCTGTTAAAAATGGAATGAAATGGCCTGAAAAACCAGATGTTTTAAATTTACACCCACTGGAAGAGAGATTAATATCTCAACGAATACCATTTATGCAAATAAGAGAATTACCAAGAGGAGGTCAGATGTCAGTCAAAGGAAATATTGTAAATGTACCAGTAGATATTCAGCCAACTGTAAATGCCCTCCCACGACAAATGGATGAACATGTGACTATAGCAGTGAAATTAAAGAAGAGATTATCTCACAAGTCAGCATGCTTCACAGAAAATGTTCGTCCAAATGTTGTGTTAAATGCTTTACACTGGCTTATGAAAAATTCTGAATTGTATAAGAATTCAGGTATCGTGATAGACCATTCTTGGAGAGATGAAATTGAAAAAAGTACTGAGGAAACAGTACAAGAACTGATAGGATCTTCAAATGATAGAGATGATCGTGAAACTGAAGGTAATGATGATGGTTTTTGTGAAGTTACTTCAGATGACTGTATCCAAGGCAATTCAGATACACTTGTTGATGAAGCAGACATTGATACAAATAAACTTTATGTGTTTGCTCCTGGTGAAAATCAGAAACCAGTAAGTTTATTTACAGATAAAGGTGCAGAATATCTCTGTTTTCCGACAATATTTTGTGGTCATCGTAGAACTGAAAGTAAAGAAAGAGTAGTTCCAGTACACTACAGTGATATTGCAAAATGGGAGTTGCGCAGTGTTGATAGACGAGCAGCACAATCTGTACCCAACATCTTTTTTAAATTAAAGAAAATTCAAATAAAGCAAGTTAGTGACAAAGTAAACTTGGCACTAAGAAGATGTAAATCAGAGGGCAAAAAAATCACTGCAGAACAAGTTTTAAATCCAGCCTCAGCAGAAAAAATTGTAAGATTAAATGAAGGGTATTATATTTTCAGAACACTTAGAAATTCTCCTGCATATCTTTCATCAAAGAAAAAGGATGTATTTGCCATGATAAGGCAGTTAGGTCTTCCAACCTGGTTTATTTCTCTTTCATCAGCTGATACCAGATGGCAAGATTTGCTTAAAACATTGGCAATGTTAGATGGAAAATCCATGTCGCAAGAAGAATTAGAGGCTATGAGCTGGAATGAAAAATCTAAACTAGTAAAACAAGATCCAGTGACATGTGCAAGATTCTTTGACAACAGAGTTCAACTTTTCATCAATACCGTTCTTAAGAGTCCTCACAATCCTCTAGGTGTTGTCACTGATGTGTTTCGAAGGGTAGAATTCCAGAATCGAGGTTCGCCACATATTCATATGCTGGTATGGACAAGTGATGCTCCAAAGCATAAGGAAAATAGCAATGAGGAAATAGAAGCTTTTGTAGATAAATATGTCACATGTGCTTTGCAGGAAAATGATTGTCAAATGAAGCAGCTTGTAGAGCTTCAAGTACATAAGCACTCAAAAACTTGCAAAAAAGGTGGTAGATCTGTATGCAGATTTGGATTTCCATTGCCACCTTTGCCCAAAACCATGCTTCTTGAACCCTTGGATTTTGATGTTGAGCATTATAGAAAGATGTATTCTGATATTCAGAAGAAAATGAATGATTACAAAGATGGTTGCAGTTTAGACTATGAGTCCTTCTTAGAGACTGTTGTAGAAATGTGTGAGGATGAGTATATAAAATGTATTCGAGCATCCCTAAAAGGTCCCAAAGTGTTTCTAAGGAGAAGTCCATCAGAAATGAGAGTGAATTACTACAATCCATCAGTGTTGAAGGCTTGGAATGCTAATTTAGATATTCAGTTTGTACTCGATCCTTATGCCTGTGCCACATATATTGTTGCTTATATCAGCAAATCTCAAAGAGGAATAAGTGCTATGCTTGATAAGGCATCTCAAGAGGCTGCAGAGGGAAATATGGATCTTAAACGACAAGTTCGACATATTGGAAACAAGTTTTTGAACTTTGTTGAGGTCAGTGCACAAGAGGCAAGTTACTTGATCCTGCAGATGCCACTTACACAAGCCAGTAGAGAAGTTGTTTTTATAAATACTTCACCACCTGAAGACCGAGTTTTCTTACTCAAACATCAAGATGAATTGAATGAGTTACCAAAAGACTCGACTGACATTAAGTCAGATGGTATGATACAGAGATATGCAAGAAGACCAAAGCAACTAGAAAATTGGTGCTTAGCTGTTGTTGTTTCAGAGTTGGAAGTCACTTTTCCAAAAGAAATGGAAAAAGATGTGCAAGAGGAAGTGAATGATGATAACCCTGAAGAAGATTCTCAAGAGAACATCTTTTCTGATGAGGATGTTTTAGTTCATTTGAAAAATGGGATTAAGATCAGAAGACGAAAAAACAAACGGGTTATTAGATACGTAGGGTACAGCCAAAAAACAAATTCTGAACAGTATTACAGAGAAAGAATTCTTCTCTTTCTGCCTTGGAGAAATGAGAATACAGATCTATTTGGTAGTTGTCAAACTTATGAACAGCATTACATGCAAAAAGCAAGTATGATACAAATGAAGCAAAGGCAGTATGAGCATTTTGTTGATGAATTAGAACAAGCTCGACTTCAAGCTGAAGAAGATCTTGATGATCTGGAGACAGTAGCACCAAATACAGAGCATGCTGAGGCAGAAGATGCAGAGATAGGTTCTGAACCATCTGAGGAATTTGTTCATTTTGATCCTGATACAGTTCAGCATAGAGATTTTGATATAGGTCCAGACCTGGGTTTGTCCTCAAAAGTATCTGAAACAGAAATGAGTGCTGTCCGCATTCCTGATGACCAGTATTATAAACTTTTGCAATCCTTGAATACAAAGCAGAGAGAATTTTACAATCATGTGACTAACTGGATTCAAAACAGAGATGAACCATTATATGCTTTTCTTACTGGTGGAGCAGGTGCAGGAAAATCTGTGGTTATTGATGCCATTTTTCAAACATTACACAGAATACTTTACTCAAAAGAAGGAGAAAGTCCGGATGATATTAGAATATTACTTTGTGCTCACACTGGCAAAGCTGCATACAACATCAAAGGGACTACTATTGCATCAGCATTTCACAGGAAAATGTATCAAACACAGCAGCACATGGGTGCAGATGAATTGAACTCATTTAGGACAAAGTACAGGAATTTGTCAGTTGTGATAATAGATGAAATTTCAATGGTTGGAAATAATATGCTGACATTTATAAATGATAGACTCCAACAACTTACTGGTAGAAAACAAGACTTTGGTGGTATTAGCATCATAGCTGTAGGTGATTTATATCAGTTACCACCTGTTGGAGACAAGTGGATTTTAAATGACCTTTCTAATCCTGGTCAGAGTTTAGCAAAAAATTTGTGGAATGAGCATTTTCATATGCATGAATTATCTGAAATTATGAGACAAAAGGACGACCTCAGATTTGCTGAAATGTTGAACAGACTTCGTGAAAACAAGATGACAGATGAAGACAAAGAACTTATTTCTCAACGCATCATTAGGCAAGACTCTGAAAACTATCCTAAACAGGCACCTCATCTATTTATCGAGAACAAGTTTGTCGATTAATTTAATAACAATTTAATAGAAAATCTTTCAACAGTTAAAGTAAATGTGAGAGCAGACACAGATGTGTTATCACAGACAAAACTTTCTGCATCAGTGAAATTGAAACTAATTCAAAATTTGCCAGAAAACCAAGCATCTACTGGACAATTAAGAACAAATCTTGTTATTGCTGTGGATATGCTCTATGACATATCAGTGAATCTTGATGTTACAGATGGATTGACAAATGTACGTGCTTCATGTGTTGTGAAATACATTGAATATAGACAATCACAATTAAGACCTGCCATAGTATGGGTTCTGTTGGCTGACTCAAGTATAGGTATTTCAAGAAGACATCAATACAACCATTTGTTCAGTACAAATGTGAACACTACATGGACTCCCATATTTGAAGCTAAAAGAACATTTGTTTATAACAGGAAGACATATGAGAGAGTTCAATTTCCACTCCAACCATCTGCTGGAAAAACAATCCACAAAGCACAAGGAGCAACTCTTTCAAAGGCAGTTATCAGCTTAGCACAGACAAAACAGCGCAAAATTCCTCACATACATTATGTTGCACTTTCAAGGGTAAGGTCACTTGATGGTCTATTCATTCTGGATTTCAACGAAAAAAGTCTCTCAAAAGATGAAAAGGTTGATAGAGAGATGGAAAGATTGAGAGATAATAGATTGCAGCTCTCATACATACCCATTTACTCAGTATATAAAGATATCAAATTTTTGTTCAACAATGCAAGGTCTCTACACAAACACTTCCTTGATATCAAGTCAGAACCAAGTGTTTTAGCTGCAGATGTTATTGGTTTAGCTGAATCTTGGCTTTGTGAATCAGATTCTGATGAAGACTTTACTTTGGAGGGCTTTACAATGTTCAGAAATGATGCAAATATTTCCCGGACCAGATCACATCATGGCATTGTCATATATTTGAGGAATAATTTACAGTGTGTGACATACAACACCTTCACTTCCAAATCTGTTGAATTTTCCATGATTTCCATTATGCCATCCAATACTCCAATACAGTGTGTAGTTTTATATAAGCAGCCTTCTTGTACTCTTGAACATTTTTATGATACCTTGAAGAGCAGGTTGCTTCCACTTGTTCACAAAGATGAAAAAATTGTGATGATGGGAGATTGTAATTTGGATTTGAATACTGGTCAGTATGAACATTTCCTAAACTTTATCAGAGAAAACTTTGGTTGTGAGCAAGTGATAAACAAGGTAACAACAAAAAACAAGACACAGTTAGACCTAATATTTACAAACTTTACTGATATACAAACAGATGTGCTTCAGGCTTATTGGTCTGACCATAATATGATTTATTGTGCTACAGATAATCCTTAAGCTAGCTAATGATATAGGTGCAGTTGTATTTTCCAGTATCAAAAACCCTCTAGAGCACAACATAGGTAGTATGTAAATATTTAGTTTCCATTGGAAACTAAATATTTACAAACTGCCAAGAGTGGTTAGGCAAAATCAAGGGTTGCCACTCATCATCTACCCTATATGTCCCAATAACTCCCCTGTATCTTTAAAAAATACATATGTACATGTAGTATTTAATTTTAAAATTTTAATACATATATTTCCTTATTGGGAAATTATTGGGACAAAATTATAATGTTTAAAAATTGATTGCCCATGAGATGGAATTATTTTTAGTTTAATATGTATGTAATATTTGCAAACTTTAAAAATACAGATGAAAACAGTTTTGCTGCCTTTATTTTATTTAATATATGCAATTGAAATTTCATCACAGCATATGTATATTTCTCTGTTATTACACAATATGTAAATTTGTATACTTTTGTAATTATTGAACTAAACATATGTCATTTATAAATTAAACGTAAATATGCATGTTTTTTTTTTCTTGAAATATAAAAGTATTATAATGAATAATTGTACTGGTGTATATCTTTGATTGGATTAAATATAAAGATATTTTTATAACACATTTTTAGGGGTCATACCTCTTACTTAGACTTGATCTATTAGGTCTGGATGAAATAATACAATCAAATAGCATTTCATACTTTTCCAATGTTAAGTTTTACTTCCTTTTTAATTGTTTTAACATTTATTTAGGGGCCCTCTCAACAGTTAAGGAAAATTGAGAAAATTGTAGAATGTAAAGGTGTAGTGAGCTTATCTTATTACATTTTCATCACAATGTTCCTATGCATTCAGCCTTAGAAAAAAATTTCAAAGAGAATCCAAGTTTCTTTATTTCAAAGAGAATGAAGTACTCATGAACAAATATATCACTGTTTTTTACTTAACTGTACAAAATACTTGCAAATGAATTAAGACTTCAATCTATTTTTCTTATGGATGCTTGATTTAATCACATATATTAACTGATACTGATAAACTATATACATTTCAATTTATTTAGTCTAGATCAAAGGGCAGATTATCTGCATAAAAAATACCACAAAATAAGAACTCTTTTAATGTGCAATGTATAGAGGGCTCTTAATGTTTTTTTTTTTGTGTTTGTAAAGTGCTTTGTACACTGCATCTATTGAGGTATTAATGCATGTACATGTATAATAATTATAAAATTCATATTTCATCTCATGGGCATTTAAATTAACATCAGTTTCTTAAATAGTATGGTTTAATTACTTATGGTGATTGATACATATGTATTGAATTTAAGTGTGTATTAAGTATGTAATTTTGAATGAAAGAATTGATGTGTTATACTCAGAATTACTGCAGTGATATATAATACAACCCATTGTCAAAAGGGTATTGTAAACAGTAGTTGCCCCTGTGATGTGAAAAGACTAGCTGCTAACATCTTGTGTTAATGTAGAACTGATATCAACATTCCATTTATAGAAAAGACTATCTCCTGTGTTGGATATGAAATTTATAAACCAACATTCCATTTCTGAAAAGAGGACCCACTGTGTTAAATATGAAACTGTTAAAGCAATTACATTCCATTTCTGAAAAGACTATCTCCTGTGTTACATGTGAAACTGTTATCTACATTTCTGAAAAGGCTGCCATATGTTACCTGTGACACTTTTATCTATACTCCGTTTCTGAAAAGACTGGCTTAATATCCTTAATTTGCTACATTGAATGTGAACTTGCTATAATCTGTTGTACATAATTATATTAAGACGAATCATATAATATACAATTATTGCTGTTTTTGAGGTCAATACAATGATTTAGCCATCTGAGGTTTGTACAATATTCACCATCCTTATTTTGGCATTATGCGCCAAATCTATATTTTTAATAACTGCATATATGTATATTGAAATTTTATGCAAAAACATAAAGAAATAGATATCCCCCTCATAAATTTAGAATTCTTACCCTCATTTACCACAAAAAATTAATTGAAATCTACAGACAACACAATTCAAGAATTAAACTACTACATGTAGTATACATAATAAAACCCCATTTCTCTGGATTTATAGCGTCTTATGATCTTAAGATTTAGTTTTATGAAAAACTGTTGATAAATGTATTCAGCTCTTTGTAAACAACTTTTAATCTTTCTTTTCGCTTTCGTTATGTAAGATTAAAGAAGTTGTTCTCTACAACCACTGAATACAGATGAATTTCCTTGAAATATATCCCTTAGCTATCAATTTTCAGCAGATGATTTATTTAAATTGTAATCATGGTTACTCTGAATTTAAAAGTTGATTCAATTAATATATGTATAAATTCACTGGTCTAGGTAATCTTTGCAGATTGATTTTTTTGTTGTTTTTTTTTGGGGGGGGGGGTTCAAAATGCTTTGGAGCAGAATGATTCAAATTGTGTATTAAATTTGTTTCTATTGTTCTTGCCATAAGGCATTTCTATGTTTATTAATATATTCTTGATCATGTTGTAAAAAGTTAAGGATAATTTTATGGTTCAATTTTTGCTACATGTATGGTATTAGTGCAAATTTTAAAATGTATGTAAACAATTTGTGCTTGGTGGACAAATTCAGGTACATAAAAAACATGTTCATGCTATCATAATTTCACACTATCTATTTTTATGCTCTAACTGTCTGAAATCACCAAAGACATGAAACATTCACTTTTTAAAGGTAGGTAGCATAGAAAGAGGGAGGTCAATGGCCAGCCCGTGAAGGGAGGTAAACCTTGCTTCTTTCAGATGATATAGAAATAAAGTGAAGATTGCTTCATACATAGTATGCTTGGTGGTGAAATTTCAGAAAGTATACCAATAAGCTATTTTCATATTGTTTGAAAATTGAACAAAGTAATTGAAATATTAAATGAATTGTTCACCAAGCTTTCTAAATAAATGCAACACTATAGTTAATAAATACAACTTCATTATTTAAGTCATGATTGTGCACAATTTAAAAGTCAATTATTGAACCATTGTACTAGTTACGTGTTTATAGAAACATGCTTTTCAGTGTGTAAATCAAGCAGTGATTTTTATCTACATTGATGTTCTCTTTTGCGATGGAATGGTCTAGCTAGCTGCTTTGCAATGTCTTGTTTTTTTTACTTACTTGTCTTACTTTGATTTTTTATGTTGAGTATAATTGGGCCATATTTTAATTTAAGCTGTTGTACAATGGTAGATTATACTATGATATATAAGATGTTTTCTCATGATGCTTTCTTTTCAAAAATTTGATGTTATATTTGATAAATAATTCCATTGATTAATACATGAAAGTTATAATATTGAATAAATTTAAAACACCAATAAATCTAATATGACTTTCTGTGAATGTGTGATTTTTTATTAGTCAAGTAACTATGTTAAAAACACTGCAAGAAAGGAAGGATTACTACATATCAGAGTTTATTTTTAAAAGTGTTCATAGTAACAATAATGAATTAACAAAACATTAATATATATAAGAACCACAAAATGCACAATTTTTCACTCTAGAATATGAAATTTTTAATGTGGCACTTAAGTTTACAGTTGTGAGAAAAGTTGTTTTGTATGTAAGAATTACTCTCTAACTTGCTCAAGGTCAGTGTTAGCCAAGGGTCCCCCATCTTCACACTGCAAATGCATTGTAAGTTGCAAAACAAAGAACATTTCATTATTATGTGATACTTCGATGAATAATGTACTGCGAAAAAATCTGAAATTTGTCCATTGATGGCATATGATAATGGTACAGAATTACATGAAAATTACATGAAAATGAAGGAAGTAGTTTACATAACCCTATTGTAATTCAAGTTTGCCTGAGATAAAGGTGTATACAATGTATTTCTTCCTTCAACATTATGGTTTTACTCAGTTGTAAGACTTGTTTCTTGATACTCAGGTGACCTATAAGGCCCGTGGGCCTCTTGTTATATAAAATGTCCTGCATCAAGTGTTTTGTCCCAGTGCAGCATTGTCATTTTGTTTTTAATTTTTAGGTATAGTTTATGTAATTCTATGTCTCAGGTCAAGGACGGTTTTAGACTAAGCCCATTTCATGTTTTTTTTCTCTGTTTAGCGTCCAACCTTCAATCAAAAACCTACCTACATGTACCTATTTGTAAATAAAAATATAGCCTAAAAAATAAAACACAGAATGTACGTGTATCATGTCTATAGTTATAATAATAGTTTAAATCTGAGGATTTTATTTCATCAATCTGCTTTTCTGGCAGAAATATCTATTCTTCAGCAAAATCAAAATAATAAATTTAAATGCCTAAAGTACACTACCTATGACATATTTATTGTACATATTTGAGAAATTGACAGAACTCAAAGATGTCAACAAAAATAATCAAGTGTAGGGGTTCTGATTTTGTTTGAATGTCTGATACATGTAGGTGTCAAAAACCAAGGTGCGATTGGATGCCAAACAGAAAAAAGACTTGGAATGGCCTATTTAATGTTATTATCCTACCTGCTCATGGAATAAAATGACTTTTGATCAATTTGAAAGAGTACTGATCATATTTTTTCAATGATATTCTTATTATTCTATGGAATAGAAATTTGTGAATTTTGCAGTGCTTTGTCAGATGAATTTCTTTATTCTGTATGACCAAAATGTATTTTTCGACAAATTAAGTAGAATACATTTGACATGTTAATAATTAGGGGGATTTTTGACATTGCAATGAAAAAAATATCAGATGCATAAAAGGAGGGGGTGTATTAGACCATTCTGTAACTTAATACATGTAGTTAATTGCCTCTTAATGCAGCCGAGATTTCTGAGTGAGAAATAGTATTGGACATTTTTGTCATACAATATATTTTTTAGAAATCTATAAGAAAACAAAGAATTTGTTTGCATGAAAGTACATGTAATCAAACGGGATCATGTTGAAGAATATTTAGATGTGTTTTTTAGCTCACCTGAGCTGAAAGCTCAAGTGAGCTTTTCTGATCACCAGTTGTCCGTCGTCCGTCCGTCCGTCTGTAAGCTTTTCACATTTT